TTAGTATAGATTATTAAAGTACAATTGCTGGTTAATGGCTATGTGCATTTGCATTTTGATAAATATTGCCAAATAACCTTCACAGAGGGTGTAACAATTTATGCTCCCACTAATAATGTATAAGAACGCCAGTTTTCCCATCCCTTCTCCAATACAATTTGTTTTCAAACTTTTTGTTCTTTGCCAATATGATAGATGAAAAACAATATATCATTGTAATTATAATTTATACTCTATTATCAGTGAGATGAAACATTTTCTCATATATTTAAGAAACAGTGATTTGTCTTTTTTGTGAATAATCTGTTCATATAGTTGTCTATTTTTGTACTGGATTGTTAGTCATTGGTCTTTTCTTCATGAATTCATACGAGTTTGCTACGTATTAAGGAGCTTAGTAAGGTATAGTTTTAAGCATAAATAGAAGACAGGAAAAAAAACCCAAATCATTAATATCAAATCCAAATTACAAATAGCTCCCAAAATGTTCTTTACAATAGGAGATATTAAGATACCCTAGGTTTCTTGCCAAAACATATTTTTAAAAATCCTTGCTTCCTTTCTCTATGGAAAAATTATATAGAGAGCATCTCCTGTGTGGAAGACTCTGGGCTAAGCCCTGGGGTTACAGACATCAAAGACAAAGACACACCTATAGGTAGACATTGATCTGCAACCAACAGAATGGATCATAGAATTCTCATGATTCAATGGCCCCTCACTTCTTTCAGCTACTCACAGACCACTCTGTCTTCTATGTGTGGCACTGAGGACACAGTGGTGAACAAGATTGAGAAAAGAGCCCTTCCTTCATGGAACTTACAGTCTAATTCAAACTCCCTCCTGCCACTACTTCAAGTGGAAAGTCAAAAGATTTTATATATTCAGGGAGAAAGAGAATTCGTTAGGTAGAATTTAATGGTGAGAGAAAAGGAGTAAGGAGAGCAGCCAGGATCTGCCTTGAGAAGTGTAGGGATAGTGCTCCTTTTCCTTAGAGAGAACAGCGGATGAGGAGCCAGGAGAAGCCCTATCTGGTGCCTGACACTTGGCTGTGGGGCAACAGAGAAAGAAGCTTGTACGACCCGGTGTGGGTCCTGTCAGGGAAAGGCCTCTTTCTTGGGCAACTGTGGGGACCGTGAAATCGTCCAGTGTGTTACCATTTCGAATGAGAAAGAAAGCAGTGTGGCAGAAAGAATGAGTGACTGTGGGCGCAGACCCGCGGTTTGTTCGTTCGGGTTAAGGGTCAGGGTCTGCCTTCTTCTGGAAGTGGGCAATGGTGAGGCCTCCAAGGGACCCCCTTCCACCTCTCTCCAGAAGCAATGAAAGAATAACTTGGGAGGGCATCCCCCGCCGAACCTCGGGGGGCGGTCTGGCTTTAAATCACCTTTCCTCTCCCTGCCTGCTTTCCTGACACCTCCTCTACCCACCTGACTTTTCGTGCAGAAAATATGGTAGGTCATGCCTGGAAGGGGCTCGCAACAGGATAGTTTGGCGTTTAATCCGTTCTCACTTTAGTGATGCTTTCCTAACGCTGTTCCTCTTCATCCTCCATTTTAGGGGGTAGTGGAGACAGAGCGGGAGGTGATTCACGGGTACAAAGATATTTGAGTACTAATCCTCTCCCATGAGCACGGAGATTTTTCCTCATGTCTACGCTCAGGCCTCTGCATATTTAGGTGAGGAAAATATCGTGGGCATCAGCAGGGGAAGCAGGGCCTAAGAAAGGGTCACGTACACACAGGGGTAGTTTGGTATTAACATGTGTCTCTCCATCCATCTCTGCTTTCCCTATTTCCTTATCCCACATTACCTTCGATTATTTCAGTGCAACAAATATGGTAGGCAATAAGGACAAGACACTTTGAGGAGAGGAACAAGAAAACACCACGGTGTTTAATATTGACCAACAAGTCAAATTAGAGCCGCTTTCCAGACGCCCCGCGCCAACACTGCCCATTTCGTGTAGAAAACTGAGTGCTTGGAAGGCGGCTTGGAGGGGCTTCTCTCAGAGAGAGGACACATAATTTTGGGGATAGATTAAAATTTATCCTCCTCTCTCAGTCTTGTGCCTCTTTCCTGACCTTCTTACCTGGGCGCCTTCCTCCAACCCGCCCATTACGCTGGGCCTAAGGCTTTGGAGAGGGGAGTGTGTAAGCGAAACGCTTTGGTATCCGTCCGCCTAGTCAGACAAGCCGATTCACTGCCGCCACCGCCTGAAGCTCGTAAACACGTCAGGGGGAAAAATCCTGTAGGCTTGGTGGGGGGAGATCCTAAAAGAGGGGAACTAATACCTTTGTTATTAGTCTGCTTCTCTCGGTCCAGCCCTGCTTCCTCTATATCCAGATCCCGCCCCTGCCCATTCAGTATACTAGAAACAGCCAGGGTGGGCGGGGCGGAGTTCAGCGACGGAGGGAAAAGCGGTGCTATGCGAAGCGCGGTATCACTCCGCTTCCAGGAGGCCGGATCCCCTTAAACCACACTCTAGCTCCTCCCGCTGTCGATTTTGGTACTGGGGACGTGGCAAGGCAGAGTCTGCGGAGCAAAAGGTAGCTGTTAGTCACCAGGAGCAGGTCCCTAAGGAGCCCTGGGAACGTAAAGAAGGGAATATCAAAAAGTGACAATCGTTTGCCAGTTACGGCCCTTAAACTGATAAAGCGGGTATCTCGTCCTAAATCTCAGGTGCCGGGCCAATCCCTAAACACAGTCGCCGCCATTGTCTCGTGTCCTTCTGCCCATCTGACTGTCCGTCCCTCTTTCTGTAGGGCACGGCACCCCTTGAGGCAAGGAAATGAGAAAACTGCCTCTGATCCAAGCAGAGCAGGTCAGTGAGAAGGCGGGCATTGCTTGGGAGTGTGGATATGGGTATCAGAGATGAACGTGGGATAGAGGACCTGGTCATGGGGCGCGGACGGTGAGAGGGAGAGAGGGACGGGGGTGATTTGAGTGGCATACAACGATGAATTTAAAATGATCTGCCTTTCGCCAGCTTGATTTCCAGACACTCGCCCCACCTCCGACCATGTTTGGGAAGGGAAAGGAGTATAGTAGCGGCTTCTAGCGGAGAAATGGCGGATTATATAATAGGAGGAGGGGCTGCTTCTTTCCGGGAGAATAGTTGTCTGGAGAGCTCTGAGAGGGAGGTTGTAAGTGTTTGATAGTCAAGGCTGTGGATTAGAAAAGGGTCTCGTCCTGGTTACTAGTCTGACCATTAATAACCAAGTCTCTCCCTCTGTCTTTTCATTTGGTCTTTTGGGTGTGTATCATGCGTTAATTTGTGTAGGTCTGTTCCTAAATTTGCGGTACTCCACGTTTCTGTAAAGATCTGCAGGGGGCAGCGGACATCAAGGGGAGGGGATAAGAAAAAGGAAGTTAGCCTAATTTCTGTAGAGTGGGCAGTGCTTGGAGATGGTAAATAGCTAAGAATAGAGCAGGTAAGGGTCTAGGGGGAACTTCAAATCTTTTTGCCAGCTTTCCAAACAGTCCTCCCTTACTCCCCTTGTGTTGCAGAGAATGATAGGTTTTGGGAAGAGGAAGGAAACATAAGGAATTAGATGAAATTTGGAAATAATACTTTCTAGTGATTTCCCAGCTCGCTTCCATGGCTTGTCTGAGCGTTCCATCCTTACTAACACCACCACTATTTTGCAGGGATATTTGAGTTGTCTCTGCAGGGGAATTGTCAGACTTTGGGAATGGAGCAGAGGAACTTGGAGATTGGGGGGGAAGGGAAGGTAGAAAATTTTGGCATAAAGCTACGTGTATCTACAAAGGATCGGTGTCCTAGGTGCTGATCTCCACCAGGGACTCCGTCTCCGTTGTCTCCTGTGTCTCTGTTTATTTATCTCTGTGTTTGTAAATCTCTCTCTAGATCTGTCCCTAGGTCTGTGCAACTCTCAGGTGTTGTGAAGGTTTGTAAGTGGCAATCCAAATTGAAGCTAGGAAATAGTAAAGAAGAGAAAAATGCCCTGTGTCTAAGTTTGGTGTGAGGGTAGAGGGATGAGGGATAATTGACACTAGAGAGTTCTATCTCCTCTTTTGCCAGTTTATTAACACATGTTTGATCCCCTCCTGATTTAGTTTGGAGTCTTTGTAAGCTTTAGGGGTATAGAAGGGTGACACCTGCTTTTCTCACTTGCCACTTGCTTTTCCTATTCTTATGCTTTACCCCAGTCCAATTCTGAACTAAGCAAGAGAGGACGAGGAGCAGCCTTGAAGCAGGGCAATGGGGCAAAGCTACCAGAAGGAAGGAAACACCAGACAAACTACAAATATAGGGACCAGGGACCAAGGTCTGTCTATCAAGAAATCAGTTTCCATATCCTCCTGTTTATTTCTCCATAGATCTGCCTGTAGGTTGCCATAGGGCTTGTCATCATTGGAAGCAAGGAAGGGAGAAGAAAATTACTCCAGATTAGTTCAGGTTGGTATGAATGAGTGTGGAGACTTCCTCAGTAGACCTGTAGAATGAGTTAGTGGAAATATGCTTGGGTCCAGCAGGGGTACAGAGCCAGACGAAGGATTCCTCAGTCTCTCTCATTCCCATTCGGCTTTCCCCCTTTCCATACTCCTATTTTATGTCTGGAAAGAAGATTAGTAGTACCTGGAGTTGTAGGGAGCTGAAATGAAGGGAGAATTTGCTAAGTGTCTACCTCTCCCACTTAGCACTGAATTTCTATACTCTCTTGCCTCTCTGTGCTAATCAAAATGAGAAAAAAATTGGAAGAGACTCAAAGCCCCATTTTCTTTCTCTACCCCTAGGTCCAACTTCAGTGGCAGATCTGGTGGCCTTGGAGTGGCTGAAGACCACCACCCTCCACAGAGCTGCACTCAGGCCCACAGCTATTCTTCCCTTCCCTGAGTGAGCTTCTTCTGCACGTTGTTTATATTATTGGCAGAGCCTATAGTTGAAAAGAGAGCTGAGTGACTACGGGACTTTGTAGGAAAACATCAACCTGGCACAGACCTTCAGTCAAAGCTGAGACAGGGGTTGGGGTATATAACTTGCCTTTAACTTGGATCATGACTGGCTCCAAGACTATGGCAGTGGCAGAGGAGGGACTAGGGCTGGCTTGAAATCTAGAATCAGTGGCCCTGCCAACACTAGAGCCAAGGCTAAGATCCAGGACAAGGCAGTGGCTGAGGCAGAACCGAAAACACAACCAGTGACCCAGGCCAAGGCTAGAAATGGAGCAGTGGCCAGGACACAAACAGTGACCTACACTGAGGCTGTGGCTATGACAAAGGAAGTGAGCAAGATGGAAGCTATGACTAAGACTAGAGTGATGGCTGAGGCTAAGGCAAAACCCCTGGCAGAACCTGATATAGTTCCCCAAACCAAGTCAAAGTTCACGCCCATGTCCAGTGCTGTGACCAAGTGTGAAGTTAAGGCTGGTGTTGGAAGTGAAGCCAATATCAGGTCCTTTGCCAAAGCTGGTGATAAGGCCAATAATGAGTCCAGGCCCCAGAGAAGGAGAGAGGCCAGCCTCAAGTTCAGGGCTGGGGACGGAGCTGATGTTGTAATCAAGTCCGGTGATGAGGATGAAGAAAACGTCTGCTCCTGGTTCTGGAGTGGAGAAGAGCCTAGTGTAGGATCCTGGTTCTGGCCTGAGGAAGAGACCCCTTCTCAAGTTTATAAGCCTCTACCTAAGATCCAGGAAAAGCCCAAGCCCACACCCAAACCCGAACTTACTATAAAGCAAAAAGCTGCAGCGTGGTCAAGAGCCAGGTATAGTGTCCTGGTCCCAATAGAGGGAGGGGAGCGATCCTTACCTCCAGAAGGAAATTGGACTCTGGTTGAGACTTTGATTGAAACTCCTCTGGGGATTCGGCCTCTGACTAAGATCCCACCCTATAATGGGCCTTACTTCCAGACCTTAGCTGAGATAAAAAAACAGGTTAGGTATAGGGAAAAATATGGGCCCAATCCAAGAGCCTGCCGCTGTAAATCACGTGACTTTAGTTTAGAGCCTAAAGAGTTTGATAAACTCGTTGCCCTACTTAAGTTAACTAAGGATCCTTTCATTCATGAAATAGCTACGATGATAATGGGCATCAGTCCTGCTTATCCATTTACCCAAGATATAATTCATGATGTAGGTATTACTGTTATGATTGAAAATTTTGTCAATAATCCAAATGTTAAAGAACGCCCTAGAGCTTTAAATATGGTGGATGACAGCTCTGAGTCTTCTGAAGAACCAAACACAGAAAAGTCATACATACGTCAAGTTTGTAAGGACATAATCTCTTATCCATTGAACTCCCCTGTGCAACTGGCTGGACTAAAATTATTAGTGTACCTGAGTGTGAAATTTGAGGACCACCATTTGATTGCCAATTACATTCCAGATTTCCTCATCTTGTTAAACAAGGGGAGTGTCAAAACCAAGTTTTATGTTTTAAAAGTGTTTTTGCGCTTGTCTAAAAATCAAGCCAATACAAGAGAACTGATCAGTGCCAAAGTACTGTCATCGTTGGTTGCACCATTTAACAAGAATGAGTCAAAGGCCAATATTCTTAACATCATTGAAATATTTGAGAATATAAATTTCCAGTTCAAAAAGAAGGTGAAGCTATTTACCAAGGAAGAGTTCACTAAATCTGAGCTTATTTCCATATTCCAGGAAGCAAAAGAGTTTGGTCGGAAACTCCAAGACTTAGCAGAGCACAGTGATCCTGAGGTGAGAGATAAAGTTATACGATTAATACTCAAACTCTGAATAGCTGTATGTTCTCACAAAGGCTGGAACAATTTTTTGGTGTTGTAATATGAAACCAATGCATATTGTAACTGTAAGTTCAATATTCATGTTATCTGTGTTGATTGAAGGAGTCACTTTTATGGATACCAAATGATCTTGAGAGCTTAAATATTTGTTGATATTTATTGTGCTATATAAATTGGGGTATTTTTAGTATTTCTGCAACATGACCTGATAATGAACATATTCGTCCTGAGAAAGCTATATTTGTCCTTTTTATTGACATGTGTATTCATTTGAGACTTCATTTAAATGTTAATAAAGTTGCATGCTAAAATTGTTGAAAACATTGTCCTAGTTCTTCAGTTGAAATCTAGTCAGAGAGATAAAGCACAAATAACACAAAGATGATAAAGAGCCCTGTCTGTCTGTAGAAGGGTACAAACAAACAAGTTCACATTGATGGTTCCTTTAGTTTCAACATGTTCAAGGAGTAGAATCACTCTGTGTACAAGAAGACAGGACTGTGCTACTAGCTGACATCTGGGCAGATCTGGGGAAAGGGGTGAGGACACAGACTTAGGAGTAAGAGAACACAGATGCTTTCATTCCAGTTTGAGTTCCAGAACTTGTGCTCAGCCTTTCACATAGGATGTCTCATCAGGATACCTTGAATCTTTTTAACCTCCAAGAGGATTCCTAGTTCTCATCCCTATTAAGCAAAGCCATGGAAGTGTGATTCTGAAAGGACCCAGCCCCATGGTGCCCTCAACATCCAGGGTAGATGGTTTACTGCTTCATCTGAGGTTCCCTCCCCCATAGACGTGGGCCTCAGAGGATGGTCTTTCTGGGAGCCAACTGCAGAAACTACGTCATGGATAGTCTCATTTATCCTGCTTTGGTGACCATTTACTCTCATACTTGCTTTTGTTTGCTGGACAATGCTTTGGACTTGGTGTCTAAAGGATAGGTGCCACCTATCCTTGGTGGCAGCCCCTTGTTTATGCTGTTCCCTTCTGGTCAGAGATCAGTTCTGTGAGACAGCCACAGGATACCAAAGTTCTTTAGGAGTGTGTGATTTGGAAGGAATTAATTCCCCTAATCCCACTATCCTGACTATTTATTTTACAGAACTGAAGCCATGTTGTCTATACTACCTCAGCTGCTCCTGTTTATACTTAACGAAAGCTAGATTCTGGTCATGGGTTTCTGCCATAGAATGCCAGAGTATAGATTGGGATCTGGGTCACCTCTGCATCTCCTATCCTCTTCCTACTTTGCTGTAATTATCCTCTTTCCTTTACTGCCCAGAATTGGTAAATATGGATATTAGAATCGGTATACAAATACAGGTCTTTCTATTGAAATTCCTCTCTCCTAACTTTTTATGTATTTAGGGGAAGGCCTAAAACTGAAAAATCCCAACAAGGTGTCATGTACCCCTAATTTTAGCAGCTCTCCCTAGTTTAATTTCTATTAAGGCTGGGTCTGAACCTATCTTTCATGCATATAGGAGTTAAAATGAAGGACAACCAGCCACACTTGTGTATTAAGGGTAAAAAAAAGCAGGTAGACTTTTTGCAAAATGAAGTTACAACTTAGATGACTTTTGAAGTTCTTTATGACTTATTTTGTAATCCACAGAACTCCCATAGCCTCGCATTCAGCTGTGGGTACTGCTTTCAGAGTTGGGGATCATCACAATACAATTGAACCAGCCCCTTTGGAAATATTCTGTGTCTCAAATGCCCTACGGAGCACACAATCAGTTGATGGCTATGGAATTTTCTGTCAGCTAAAGAAAAGAGTGATTTTGGAGTATGTAGGTATTTTTGTCAAAGCAAAAATGGTCTCTCCTTGGGTAGGAATTATGGGAGACAGAGTCATTTGTCAAATTGTTCCTGGGGTGTGCTTGAAGTCAAAACCCTGTTACTCATCTCTTGTTTCATCTCTTTTCAGGAAAAGTAATCAAGATAAGCCCATGCAGTATCAGGGCTCATCCAGATGTTACTTGTCTTAAAATCTTGCTGCCTGGGGGTAAAAATCATTGTGGATTTCTCATCTTTCCTGTCGTGAAGCAAAGCAAGTGATCTTCCTACAGCACAGCTGAACTATTAGCACCCACTGACCCTCTACCATGCCCTCAATTTTGAAAGAGGAACTTTCAGTGGGAGTTCATCTATAAAATATTACCAAATTCCCTAGCAAGGCTTTCAAGGCTCTGTACCCTTCAGCACCTTTCCATTTTCCCCCTTGTATCCCACCATGTGACCTATGTTCAAGCCACACTGGACTGTTTGTTGTTTCCTGACTATTTTATGCACTTCTTTACTTTTGTGCATTTTCTCATGCTGTTCACTCGTCCTGCAATGCCTTTGAAATCCTTTTCCCGCCTGTAGGAAAACTATTCATTCTTTTAGGCTCAGCTCAAATGCTGGGTCCCTTTGAAGTCTTCCCTCACACCCTTATCTTCCCTGTCCATATGTTGGAATTAATAGCTCTTTCTTCATTTCCATAGTTTTTTATTTACTCCTCTGTTTTATCATTTGTCTTTATACCACACCTTGGAGTCTTATTAGTAAGTTAGAGCTTGTGTTTAGGGACAGTTAGCATAGAAGAGGAAGCTTGGGTTTTGAGAGTGTCTGACTTCAAATCTGAACTTTTTATTATGTATGGTAATAATAATTATTAACATTTATACATTTATTAAGTGCTCACTATGTACCAGATACTGTTCCATGTGCTTTACTTGTATTAACTATTTAATTTCTGAAACATCCCCATGGAGTAGGTACCGTTATCCACTATTTCTCACTTTTTACATGTGAGAAAGCTGAGATACTGATTGGTTAAATAACTTGGCCAAGCTCATTGAGTTGGTTAGTAGCAGAGCTGAGATTCACACCTTTGCAATTTGAATCAGGAGCTAGCATATGTAACCATTTTGTAACTCTGTACCCCCGCACAACTTCTACTAAAGTACATTGCCCATCCCCAACTTAAATTTGAGTGTTATTAGTCACCCCTGTCCCTTACTTCTTCTGCTTTTTCCCTTTGTGTTGGCCACTTCCTGCTTTATCTTCATTCCCTACCCAACTAAGCATTCATGGTCCATCACTTTCAACATGTTTTTAAGTATTTTTTATTGTGGTAAAATATATATAACATGAAAGTGGTAATTTTAATGATTTTTAAGTATACAATTCAGTGACATTAATTGTATTCACAGTGTTGTGCAGCCATCACTACTATCTATTTCCAAAACTTTTTCATTACCCAAAGGAGAAACTGTGTAACCATTAAGAAATAACTCCCCATTCCCCTACTCCCTCCAGCCCCTAGTAATCCAGTCTACTTTCTCCGTGAACATGCCTATTCTAAATATTTCTTTTAAGTGCAATCATACAATATTTGTCCATTTGTGTCTGGTTTATTTCACTTAGCATAATGTTTTCAAAGTTTATCCACGTTGCAGTATGTATCTGAGCTTCATTCCTTTTTATAGCTGAATAATATTCCACTGTGTGTGTGTGTGTGTGTGTATACACCACATTTTGTCTACCCATTCATCTGTTTATAGACACTTGAGTTGTTTTCACTTTTTGGCTATTTTGAATAATACTGCAATGAACATTGATGTACAAGTGTCTGTTCAAGTCCTTGCTTTCAATTCTTTTGAATATATACCTAGAAGTACAATTGCTGGGCCATATGGTAATTCTATGTTTAGCTTTTTGAGGAACTGCCAAACTGTTTTCCACAGCAGCTGCAGTATTTTATGTTCCCACCAGCAACGTACAAGGGTTCCAGTTTCTCCACATCCTTACCAACACTTGTTATTTTCCATTTTTTAAATAGCTATTCCTAGTAGGTGTGAAGTGGTATCTCATTGTGGTTTTGATTTGCGTTTCCATAATGACTAATGGTGTTGAGCATTTTTTTATGTGCTTATTGTCTATTTGCATAGAAGATCTTTGGAGTAATGTCTATTCAAGTTCTTTGCCCATTTTTTAATTGAATTGTTTGTCTTTATGTTGTTGCATTGTAGTAGATCTTTATATATTCTGGATGCAAATCCCTTATCAGCCATATAATTTATAAACGTTTTCTCCTATTCTGTAGGGGTTTTTTTATGATATTATTGATGTCCTTTGATGCATGAAAGTTTTTAATTTGGATCATGTCCATTTTATCTATTTTTTCTTTTGTTCCTTGTGCTTTTGGTATCATATCTAAAAATCCATTGCCAAATTCAAAGCCAGAAAGATTGATTCCTGTTTTTTTCTGAGTTTTTTTCTTTTTTAAGATTGGCACCTTAGCTAACAACTATTGCCAATCTTCTTTTTTTTTTTTATTCTTCTCCCCAAAACCCCACAGTAGATAGTTGCATATTGTACTTGTGAGTGCCTCTGGTTGTGCTATGTGGGACGCCACCTCAGCATGGCCTGATGAGTGGTGCAATGTCCGTGCCCAGGATCTGAACTGGTGAAACCCCGGGCCACCAAAGCAGAGCACGCGAACTTAACCACTTGGCCATGGGGCCGGCCCAAGAATTTTATTTTATAGTTTTAACTTATATTTAGGTTGCTGATCCATTTTGAGTTGATTTTTGCATATGGTATGAGGAAAGGGTCCAACTTCATTTTTTGCATATAGGAATCCTGTTTCCTCAGCACCGTTTGTTGAATAGTCTATTCTTGGCACCCTTGGCAAAATCAATTGGTGATAAACATGTTGGTTTATTTCTGGACCCTCAATTCTATTCCGTTCATCTCTATGTCTATTTTTATGCCAGTACTACAGGGTTTTAATTACTGTAGCTTTGTGGTAAGTTTAGAAATCAGGAGGTGTAAGTGCTCCAACTTTTTCTTCTTTTTCCAGATTGTTTTTGTTAACCTGCATCCCTTTCCATTCCACATGAATTTTAGGATTAGCTTTTCCATTTATACAAAAACATCCACTGAGATCTTGATAGAGATTGCACTCACTCTGTAGACTGCTTTGGGGATATTGCCATCGGAACAATATGAAGTCTTGCAATCTATGAACACAGAATACCTTTCCATTTATGTAAATCTTTAGTTTCTTTTAGCAATATTTTGTAGTTTGTGTACAAGTCTTTCACACCTCCTTGGTTAAATTTATTCATAGATGTTTTATTCTTGTAGATACTATTTTAAGTAGAATTGCTTTCTTAATTTCCTTTTTACATTATTCATTGCTGGTATATAGAAACATGACTGATTTTTGTGTGTTGATCTTGGAACCTGCAACTTTGCTGAATTTATTAACTCTACCAGCTTTTTTTATGGATTCTTTGGGAATTTCTATATATAAGATCATGTCA